AACAGCAAATTTCATTGTGCAGAACCAAAATCTCTCTACTAGCTGTGCTCTCAGAGCAGGTAACTTTTGAAATCCACAGGAATATTGCTCTCTGATACACTGCAAGGGCAAACGACCTCACTGTTTTCCATCTGCCACCTCACACTATGGGAGTCAAACACATGCATCTACAAACCAGAGCACAGTGCCCAGGTTCTAAGTTTGGCACATGCATAATGTTTTTTCATTTTCAAACCCTCTGAAGAGAGGAAGAAATCACATTAATCTTCACAGCACCATTCTGAGATAAATACAGAATGATTACTTACCCTGTATTGTGTTTTATCTGAAGATTTTATCTCATATGACTCTGAATACAGCCTTTGTGCCTTAGTACAAGACTAGTAAACCTTCTCAAATTCATTAATTAATAAGAAATAGCCACACTAGTCATTTTTTCTGATGATGTCAAATACAGTCATAAGGGAAGCCCTGAAGTTTGTTTCAAAAGTGAATTGTGACAGCTGAGTACATTAAGCTAGAAGCTGGAAGCGGAAGGGATTAAAATGGGTCCATTTGTGGTATGTCACAACATCATCCTGTCTGGAACCTCCAGCCCTTCTGACGTTCTGCTTGTCCCAAAACACCACACTCATGAACTTATTCATTAGCAGAAGTCAAGCTGTCTGACCAACTTCTTGGTGAGTGGGTAGCACGCTGCTGTGATGTCAATGATTGCTGAAGCAGCGTCTTGGTTTGAATGAATCACCTCAGGACACCTACAGACAACTGTAACAGAGTTAAGGACCATGACCTTCAGGAAAGATGCACACAGGTTCTCTGATGAGACTTTTTCCTGGCAAAAGAGTAGGTATCAAGCTGTGCTCTTTAGTAAGACTATGTCATCATTATGTTATGAGGCTCATTATTAGGAGTCTCAAAGAGGGTTCTATGACCACAGGACCCTAAGGCTCAACAGCTGCTTGCAAGACACAGGATCTGCTTGACAACATGGGGTAAAAGTATCTTTGCCAATATGCCAGCCAACTTCATAAGGAGAGGTTTAAACTAGAAATTCTGGGGGAGGGAACAAGGAGGCTTGGGATAGTGTAGGCAAGCCAAGAACCTGGGATGAGAGGAAGAGACACATCAATTCACAAAGCAACTGAGCTGAAGTGTAATTCCTTTGAGCACAGATATGTAAAGAAGGAAATGCCTGCAGAACAGCCTTGTGGGGAAACCTCTCAAGCCTCTACTGCAGAACCAGCACACTTGGATGTCCCTCAGAGGCCTCTAATGCATGCAACACGGGGAGGAGTTTGAAATCTGCGTAGTTACAGGACTATAACCTCACTGGGATCATGCAGAAATGGTGGGATAGCTCACACAGCTCGAGTGCTGTGATGGAGGGATACAGGCTCTTTAGGAAGCACAGCAGGAAGGCGAGGAGGAGTGTTGCCCTTTAGGTGAGAGTAGATGGAATGCACGGAGTTCTGCCTTGGGACAAGTCAGGAGCCAGCTTTTGGGTCAAGATTAGTGGGCAGATCAACATGTGTGCTGTTGTTTTGGGTATCTGCTATACATCTCCTGATCAGGAAAAAGTAATAGATAAGACCTTCTTCACAAAACTGGAAGAAGCTTCATGTTCACAGGCCTCCTGAGGGACTTTAGCCACCCCAATAACTGCAGGTATCTATAATATCTGAACACCACCCCCTTCCCCTTTTTTACTGTGAGAGTGGTCAAATGGTGGAACAGGTTGCCTGGAGAGGCTGTGGAGTCTCCATCCTTGCAGATATTCAAAACCTGACTACTGGACATGGTCCTGGGCCACTTGCTATAGGTGGCCCTGCTTGAGCAGGGGGATTGGACTAGTTGATCTCAAGAGCTGCCTTCCCACCCCAACCATTCTGTGATCTTGTGATATTTAGCTCCATTTAATTTGATTCTTCATACATTTAAAATACAAAGATAAGCCCTCACCAGTGAACATATGCATTGCAGCTTTATTCTTGACACACAGTACCACTACAAACCCATTATCTCCAACTGAGTGGTCTCACTGAGATCAAATTAAGCAAAACGTATTTAGGACTGTGGCCCAGCACAGTCACTTTCCTAACCATGTATTTTACTTTACCTTTGTTTATTCAAAGGATCTCATTTGTATTAAAAGAACCTTCATTTCATATAGAAGGTCAAAGGATTCACTGATCTGTTATTTCAATGACAAAGCTTCTCCCAAGTTATACTGCAAATTTAAGCAATATAGACGAAAATAATAGTCAGTATAAATCAAGCTAGAAATCCCACCTATGTTTTTTTTTCTTTAAGTTTCCCAGCATGGCAACATTGTCCAACAGATATACAATATTTGTTTGCCAACATCATAAAAATGTTCTGTACCACAGCAAATGCATATAAATGTATACCACTGCAGAGTGATAGAATTTCTATTTATATAGGATGCACAATAGAGGCTCTGTAGACAGAGCAACATTTTAACATGCCTTTCAAAATGGTGAGTGTTTATTGTTTACCATTTGTGGTGAATGTTAACATCAAAATCAACTCTTCATTATTCCTATCCTCCTGAAACATTTCAACCCTCCATTACTTATCCAAAAATTACCCTACACCTGACACCACAAGACTTTATAGAACTACCTTCATCTGCAACATTTAATTGTGAATGCTTGGTAAGAGGGGCCAGGAGAGCACTGACAGCTTACGGGCTGTGATAACAACACTAATGGCAAAACACCTACTGCAGTAGCACAATTTCTCATTTCCTGCTTTTGTTGATTGGTAAAAGGTGATACACATAGTCCATCTTTGGACTATGTCAGGTATGTGTACCACTCCACACACAGCTTTGAGAGGGAAAATACTGCAGAGCACTGCCTGTTAAGATACATTTAAATAACACCAATTTTACAAAAAGACATTCTGAGTTAACTGTTTGTTGATAGAAATTGCCTGGTTATGTGATACTTCCATGTAAAACATGAAAATTCTGCTTTGCAAAACAGGGAGAGAAGGCATGGTGTAGAAAACAAGGTATTTTAAGAAGTCACAAAGCGTAATTGGTAATAAAGGTGAAAAATGAAGAGATGAAGGAGAAGAAAGTAGTAATTCCAACACACCTATTACATTTAAGGTTCTAGATTGCAATTTCAAAATAATTTCTGACTTGCAGTAAAGAAACACATTATTCAGCTTGTGTTTTCGTGTAATTTCTGAATATGAAAACAGCGTATAATTTTGTGTCACACAAAATTCGTTATAAGATCAGGGTCTCTGTTTTTATAAAGTGACTGATGTCACAAACTTCTCCAAGCAGACAACCAGGCTTCTGGGCAAAAAGGGGATGAAAAAAGTGCAAAATAAGACAGAGAATATCACTCTTTCTTAGATGAGAAAATGCTAAGAAATGTATGTACAGAAATAATGGAATAATATTAATAACTTTATTATTCTTTGATGCATTTCTCAAAGCAAAATTATATGCTTCTTCAGAAAGGTTGCCCTATCTACTCCAGATTATCCACCTTGTATGCTACAGACACAATTCTCACAGAATAAAAACTCAAGTGCACTAACTGCATATTGCTGTACAATCTAAAGTATATATTGTCCTTGGGGGAAACCTATAAATGACCCCAATTGAGAACAAGATTTTCGTCCTTTCACTGTTACCCAGCATGAACACATACCTTCCTCAGAAAAAAAAAAGACTCCTAGCTAGATTATTAAATGGCTTTCCATGCATTTACCATGGTAAGATTTACCAAAACTTTATATAATCATAGCTTCTGATTTTAGATGAAATTTTGCTAGTATTTTAGAAACAAGTATCAGATTTATTTGTCTTGAAAGATGGAAGATGAATTAGAACAACATCCATGGGATGGCAAATCTCCCTTCCAAATTATCTCTATAATGACCCATATACTGCATTTTTTTTTCCCTTTTAATTGTATATTCTTCAATTCCAATTTTAGTAGTCGGAATGCACAAACCTATTTCTGGTCATAAACTTTTATTAGAACTCTGCTGAAATAACAGAATTTCAAATAAACTATGCTAAATAATGAGGAAGTTAAATGATTCTACACTGAGCCACTGACTCCTTGGCAGCTATTTGTTTAAGTGTCTGAAGGAGTAATTATATTGCCTCTGAAAGTTTAGTTTAAAACAACCAAAACCATAAGCCCCTAAAATTTTAAGAAAATAGCAAGAACTGCATGGAAGTTCCCAGAGAAAGGATGATCAGTAAAACTTCTGAGCCATTAAGAGAATGCAATAACCATTTTCTAAACATGGTTAAAAGACTTGCAGGACTAGCAACTGCAGTAACAATTTTTGTTCTTTTGTGTTGTCCTCCTCCCCCTCCTCACATATTGTATTTTGGGTGTCATTTTTCTCTAAAAATTTTGATAATTTTAAGATATGACAACCAACACTCCACATGAGGGACACATTATGTGGATCTCTGGGAATGAAAAAAAAAAAAAAGTAAGCAGGCAAAAAGTTTTTCAGGGGAATCCTAAAATGCAATTACCATGGTTCTTACCATTTATAACTCCTAGAGCCCAAGTGACCTGGGAGAGTACCTAATGGAAAACACTACTCACAACAAATAAACTAACAATTATGGAATGCAGACAGTGCATTTCCAGATTGTTTTTATGTACAAGAAGTCCTGTCAGAAGCCCATTTTAGGACTCAATACAAGAAGGATAAACAATAAAGAGAACAACCTCAAGTCTCCATACACTGATCAATTTCAGTCTCAGGTGAACATAAAAGCAATAACCATATATTCTAATTAATGATAGTTCAGATATTTCAGAGTGAAACATGTTTAGACAAAAGTACAAGAATCCACAGTTTAAAGACTGAGCTTTTCAACAGATACAAATGCTTGCTTTTTACCAGATTTCTTAGCTAATATTTTCACACTTCTGCAAAGTACTTTTGTAGCAGATAAATAATGTCAGCTGAAAAATAAATCCTACCTGTTTCCTCTTCTCAGGTGGAAGGGATGGATCCCCATCCTACAAATAAATGGACATATTTTATTGGCAACTTATTTCTGAAGCCAGCAACTATATTAAATTTGTGGATCAAATTTTAAAACATGTATTTCGACTAAAATATTATCAAAATAGTTTCTAAAATACTGCATCTTGATTAATACCAGTTATATTAATTTCAACTCAAAAAATTGTCTAAGACTGAAGATTTGTTTACATATCTAGAACAGCAGGTCATTACAAATTTATGTTGCATTATTTTTCATAACGGTACATTAAGTTGCTGTGGAATAATAATACCGCAGTCAGTTTTTAAATGGAATTATGACTGAAACTAATTTCCTCTGAGCACACACTGTCTTTCTGTGTCTTATATAACAGGCACTACCTCATCAATGCGGAACAAATGAGTAATAACATGATCAAGGCTGTACAACTGCAGGACTACTGTAAACAAGTACCTAAACATTTTTACAGCAGTCATTATGGTTTTCTTTCAATTTTTTTTGAGGTTCACCCTTGTCCCCCAATTATACAGTATTCATAAAGAACAACCTACAATCAGCTCCCGATACTTCTTTTTCAGAGACTGGTGCCGTTCCCGCAACTGATTGGCCATAAGCTTGTACTGGTCTCTTTCTTGTTGACAGGTGTCCAGCTCTTTGGAAAGGATTAGCAATGCCTCCTTTTTACTTTCAAGCTTCCTTTTGCACACCAGATACTGCAGAAGAGAAAAAAATTACATAATTGTAACAAGCCATTTCTACCTCAGCCAATACTGGATTCAAGAGACTCAAGTTTTTCTCTGAAAAGATGGAGGAAGAGTCTCTGCACGAGATCAAAGTCTGCCAGAAATCATCTCAGTTTCATAACAATTACGGGAAAGAAAACTGTTGTATCAGAAGCCTGAAATTAATTTGTAAGGCCACATGCTCACCTTACCACTATGAGTTAGAAAAATTCAGTAATTCAAGTTTGTCCTCTTTTTCCTCATACGCAATACTATGAGGAACCTCACAATTTGACCGACAGCTCTGAGAAAGCTGCTAGAAGGAAAAAGCCTTTGCAAACTGCCTTTTTTCACTTGTACCCAGCTCTCAGCAACCAGAATTGCTCACCTCATTCCCCCTTCCCTCCTCATCCTCCCCACTACCAGCAAGGTCCTCTGGGCTCAGCCTCGCACCTGGACAGTGAAACAGGACCTTGTTATAGCAGATGGGGTAGCATGAGTGGCAACCAAAACTTACCTTGAGTCTGAAACAATTGCAGTGTGATACTCTGTTGGCACAGGTAAAAGAAACTAATTCAGCTATGATACTAAATGCACATGATTGTTGAGTCAAAAGAATGGGAAATAATACAGGAATATTGCAAACACCTGAATGGGGAGGGAAGGCAGAGGCAAGCCTTCCCCTCCAGCCACTGCCTCTTATGCATAGGGCTCATGCACAAAGCAAAGCAGAACTTGCAAATCTTAGCTGTTCTGCTTCATTGCCTTTCCCCACTGAGAGGAAGAGAGTAACATGTATGTCATCCTTTCTTGCACTGGCTGAATGTTTGCTATCAGAAGTTTCAGGCAACTTTTTTCCACTTAATGTGATGTCCAATCAGCAGATTCTTCTTACCCATCACTTGACACTGCTCATGCTAAAGTATATATTTCTATTTCTGATGTTAGTCACATAAGACGTGGCACTAAATACTTTCTGAATGTGCTCTGCAAGAGACCAAATATCACAGCAGTCATGAAAACAATTTATAGTTTCATTATATACTCTGACAAGAATACTTTGTCATTATGGGCTCTTGCACAAAGCAAGAGCATCAGCACTTCCATACTGTTCAAGTCAGTGCTGTTCTGTGGGACAAAAATCATTACTTGTATGTACTACTTGCTTGGAATTGACTTTGTTAACCTCAATTTCAAGTCAATGAGAAAGGGAAAAGTGAGTTTGGTATATTAGTACAGCCAATATTTTCCAAAAATGGTAAAGGCTTAGCTGCAAAAAAGTAGGAAGGGAATGAGAAAAGCAATTCCAAGAAGGATTTGAACTCTCAAAAAGGACACTTCCACCTTGGATTAATTTCATTTCTGGCAATACTGAAGTTGAAATCCTGCCATAAATTTTCTGGATTATGATGCCTTGGCATCCACAAAGGCAAATGTACCTATGTACTTATGTCCTTACTGATACCTTACACAAATGTCAAGTCCCCTGATAAAGCACTGAAAGGTATCAGAAGCTAAACTTTAATATTGTCAGCAAGTGATTATAGTGACACGGTAAACTGCTTCAAACTTGATAAAATAATTCCTTCCTTTACAGTGAATATTTGCCTCTGACAATCTCTCTTCTTTTTTTCCAGTTGCATCTCATGTCTTAGTCAATTCTAAAACACGCCTTCACTAAATTGCTTTTAAACACTAAATACTAAATAAATCTGATTCAGTAGTTGCATATAAAAACAAGTAAACACAAACCTCACAATCGCTTTAAAAAAAAAAAAAAAAAGAAACAACCAACCAACAGCTCAAACCGCTGAACCCGGTAGCTTGTCTTGTTCCTTTAGCCATCGGGAAGAAAGAACCTGGCCCATCCAGCCAACACCTACGTGGAGCAGAACAGCCTATACAGTGTGCACGTGGGAGGGGGGCGAAGCTAAACGTGTCCCCTTGGGCCACACACACCACCAGCCAGCACCTCCCAGCCTTGCCACGGGCGCTGCTCTAGGAAACAGTGCGCAAGGGAGTCGGAAGCTAACTGGAACATCTGGACAAGACTATAATAAATAATACTTATCAGGCAGAAAATGCATACCTAGTGCTAAACAAATCTTGCTTCTGCCCTGAGTCGCAGCCCTCCACAAAGGACACCCTTAAAGCATAAATGGTGGCTTCACCTTTCACAGCAGCACTGGCAGGGGCAAGGGAATTCTCCATTATCTACCAGGTTGAGGAAAATGAACTATAAATAGATTGTGGGGACAGTTGTATACAGCGTCTAAATGAGAAGGAATAATGATCTCCTTGTTTAAAGTATGCTTTATCTTGATGAATTATACACTGATGATGTATCAGAGGGAAGGAAGGGGCTCAGCATCTCTCATCAATGTACTGTTTGGATTTTACTATAAAAATGACCACCTAAAAGACTTTCTGAAGCCATTTTTGCGTTTTGCATATATTGACTTTGCCAAATAAATGAAATAAAAATAGTAATAACGTATAGCAGTTTGTTTCCATAGGCTAATGGTATGAGAAACAATAAAGCCACAGCATTTCTGTGGAATTTGATTATTCAACAGAGCTCTGTTTCAAATTCCCATTACTATTTTCGAAGGAAAAACAAATTATACAAAGACAGACCTTAAAGAGGCTATTCAGTATATATGCTTCGGAATGTTATTAAAAAAAAAAAAAAAGTACTGATAGGGACCATAAACTGACCTAACAACTGTACACCAAAAACTTATTCTACTCAGGGAAACACCTGTGTCCCACCAACAATTTCCCATATACAGACAAATAAGTGCAGCAAAATTGGTATGCTGTCAAAAGGAATATAGGAGTTTAACAGTCTTTTTGGAGCAATGCAAGCAATAAGAAAAATTTTCTCATATAGTCTAAGTCAATAGATGCTTCTGGCACTCATATAGAGATTTCTTCCTCTGCAACTGAAGGAAAGCCTATGTCTTGCATACTGTCTATCAACAAGACAAAGTGAATTCTATTATGCACTATAGTTACTACAAAATATTCTTATCGTCTTTTATTTCTTTTTAATTGAGGTTCCAAAATAATCTTTGAGTTTAAAACACAAAGTTAACCAAGAACCAGCTGCTACACTTTCAATGTAAAAGCTACAACATACAACTTTTCATATCTGCCTAGTGACTTTTATCTACCAATTCACTGTTATCTGCAATAAAGCAAATTATAATTGCTACAAGGAAGATCATAATAATTAAAGGAATATATATGACATCCTACATTGCTGCCTGTACTGCTTTACAGCCAGATAATTACTTTAGTCAAATTGAGTAAAAAGTGACTGACATTATAGGAGAGTGTAACTGCTCCAAGGTGACCCTCTACATTGAACACTTACTATTTGTCCACTGCTATTTTTAGTGACAAATCTGGATAGATCTCATTAATGACACCGTAGACATGGTCTAATAATCTGATGAAGCTGGAACACTGTCAAGGTCTTAGACTTTCTTTTTTTAAACCAACAAACATACTGAATTCCTATCACAAAGTAATTTCTTTTACATTTGAGCAAATTGCTGGCCTATACTTGAGTATTTAATGGCAATTAGTGCCAGGAAGGAAAATACATAATTTTCCGAGGGCAAAAGCAGAGTTACTATCTCCAAGCTGTGCTTTGGAATCACTGTGGATCATATTCTGCATTCTCTCAACACTCCAGGACCTAGTGCCCTCCCAATTGCCGATGGGCCACCACATTGTATATGAGCCTGGAAACCTATCATCCACCATGCTCTCAGAGAAGCCATGAACCCTACTCGCCATCTTTTGGACAAGAGCTATTTGGAGTTTTATCAAACTTCTCCTCACTGTACCCTTGGAGGCAATTTTGTTGTGGAAATGCCAAACTGAAGAGTCCCAAAATGTATTGCAACGTCACTATTCGGGGTGTTTGTTGACTGTGTTTCAGTAATGTTGATGCCCTTGACTTCAGATTAAACTGTTCAATTTATCTGAAAGAGTTAAGCATTCAAACCCAGAGAAATACACAATTACTGGCCATTTGCCAGACATCTTATGTCCTCATCTCTGATAAAACCTGAGACAATGGCGTGTCCTTGGTTTTATCCTACAATATCAACTCTGCTTTTCCTGATGCCCAGCGCTTGCTTCACTAGCTACCTCCTGACTGCTGAAACACAAAGCAAGCTGGTATCATTCACTGATGATATAAGTGATATGAGCAGCTCCCCGGAACACCACGTCTTGTCTTGATGACAATATTACACCACATGATCTTCACTGGTCATTTAGGAACTACCATCATTTGATTTGATTAGTCAAAATAACACTATTTTGCGATATGGTTCAGCCCTTAAAAGTTTTGTATGCTGTGCATCAGATTACATTATTAATTTCTCTGTGTTTGTTGCTCAATATCCCTGTGGGTATCTTGGTCCAATCTGGAATATGGAAGTATTAGAAGCAAACACTTGTTTTGCTGCCTGAAAGCCCAGCAGGCAGGTCTCTAGCACCTCTCCCATAGCTCCCTGAGAACTTTGGAGAGCAGTAAGTCACAGTGCCAGCTCTTTTAGCATTTCCACTTCCTTTTCCAAACGACAAAGCCATCACGATGCCAAAACAAACACCTAGGGACCAACTTCACTTTGTTCTTCCCTGCAGCCACCTGCATTTGCCCATGTTTAGAAAAGCTCTGAAATTGGTGGATCCAAAGCCTGTGGTGTCCCCTCACATAGGTTTGGTGAATTACATTTCACACTGTTTGAAAAGACAACATGAAAGAAAGTTAGAGAGATATTATAACTATGAAAATACCACTAATTTTCCTTCCTCTTCTCTCTTGTCCACATTAAAAAAAAAAAGTGCAACCAATGGGAAAGGTATGCTCTGCCAATTACAAGCAGGTTAGGTTTCTCACTCTTATTCAGAACTCCTGTCTGGAACATTTAACTATTTCAACCAGAACTACTGCTCAATAATTGCATGTTTGATAAATAATTCCCCAAAACTCTTTCTCCAAGTTTTAAGTTGGCAGTTACTAGGAAAGGGAGCTCAAGAGCACAAGCACATCACTTCCCTCTGTGGTACTGAAGACCATACACAGCTAATAATCAAGAAATAACCTCTTGAGAATCACAAATTAAATGGAGACTAAAATTCTTCAAACTGATGTTAGCAGGCACAGTCACATATGAGTAGCCGTAAATAGCATACAGTAAATGCTCTAATGTGTGAGAGGTGACAAAGAAAAGCATTTTGAAATTGGATTTCGTTCTAGAAGTTGGCAAATCAGAAGGAGAAGCTAGCAGAAATGATGGAGGACAACCACTTTAGTTTTATGGGTTTCCTAGGAATCCTTTCTTGCTTCCAGTGGAAAACACTGCCAAAACTACACATTCTCCAAGCAGTATTAAATTAGGACTAGTGCCAACTCTCAATGAAGTGAATGGAAGCACACTCACTGACTTCAGCAGAAAGGAGACTGATCTCATAGAAGTCATCTCTCTAAAGTAAGGACAGAGGTGGCCTTGCAGATTATGCAAAAGTGGGTTTTCCCTACCCCCTATGACCTCTCAGTACTATTCAACTCATCCCACCAGCCCAAGATCATGCTACCACCTACTCCTTTCTTCATCACCGATTCTGTCATCACCCTTAGATCAAATTATTCCAAGATAGATTACATGGAATTCAGGCAAAAACTGAAATCACACCCATCTCCACAGCACAACATACAGAGTTGGAAGCTTCTATAACCTTTAAAAAGAAGCCCCCAACTATTCCTTGAACAAAGTTCATGTATCATGGTTTTCACTCATACTCATGGGATTTATTTATGTTTCATCTCCCTTATAGAAACAGGAAAACTGACCTTCCAAGAAGTTGACTTACATGAGTTTGTGTAAGTCAGCAGTTTAGCATATCCACAAACATGGTTGTTAGGCTAAGAAGGAAGTATGGACATTTAAAAACACTTGAAAGCAAACAAACAACACTGCAACCAAGATTTTAGTGACCAAAATTATTCTCAGGAATTCTGTCCTCTTCAGCAAAGAGTACAGGATAGCCACCCTTCCATGACTGCTTTCTAGCAGTGCACTCAGCAAAGCAACTAACAACTGTCACACTTTCCTGTTTTCAACCTCTTCCATATGGAAGAGGTATTCTGTTTGCAACAACGATTTTCTTTTTTTAAAATAAGAGACATTCAAATGCATATTCAAAGGAATGGGCCATACTCTTGGGATAGTATTTTGACATTTATGAAGATCATTTATTTCTGGAGGACTTAGGCTACCACCTCAGTCCAGCCAGCAAGAAAGTTCTTGCTATGGCTCAGTTTCATTTGTGTCAAACAAGCAGTTACTGATCAGGTCTTCATCCTACAGCTTTACACTGGATTTTCAATATCCTAAACACGGGTCATTCAGTGAGGTAAATGTCAGACAAAAACCCAGACTCCAAGCAAAAATTATGTGGTAACCCAACAGAGTACTTTATATATATATATATATATATATATATATATATTCATCCACCATCATTACTTTAACCCATCTAAAGAATGAGCAAAATTTATGTGGATTCTCACTCCTGAAGTTTGTTCTTTTGCATTCAGTCTGTGATATTACCAATGGAAATAATGACTCTTTCTGCTTCTTCAGTATTTGCTAAGTTGGCTTTGCCCTAGTATTCCTTCCTATGTCATCCTATTCAGAGTTAGTTTAAAGAACATTCAAGGCGCTTGTTGTGCAAAGATCATTCTGAGTACCAAGTGCACATTAGGCCTGAAATGCATGTGGCTGTAGAGTAACTGGAAGAATACATGAACATGGAGGCAAAAGAACAAGCAACAAGTCAGTGATGAGCATAATAAAAGCAGAGAAAAATATGTGAAAGAATACAGAGCAAAAGGCACTGAAATGGAACAAAAGTCAAAAGGAAAAAGAAGAGTAAATACATAAAAAGACTGGAACACACCCAAAAAAACAAGCATTCTTTTTATCTAATACAGAATCAAAAGCCAAACTACAAAAATATACAGTTGTGTGTTTAAGTGTTTGTGTATGTATATATAAGGACCAAAAATATATCTTACCACTCTTCTTAACACCTGCACTTTTAAAACTATTACAGTCGGTTTGATTGATATATCAATTACTCCTAGCTTTCAAATTTGGAGGACTGAGCTTGTGAAAATTAAAAAGAACACGACAGTGGATCTGACCCACCAGCTTCTGGTCTTTTACACCAAGATTTTGAACCCCATTCTATGTTTTAACTGTCCAGCATCAGCAAAATGAGAGTGTTCATTTAGAGGCACCATGTCTTTTCCTGCCTATGTTCTCTTGTATCTTGAAAGCACTTCAAAATGTTTACCAAAATACATAGAGAACAAAACTTAAAATACCTGGCAGACACTGAAACTAAGAGGTCTGGAGAAGCTCTGTATCACTGGGGGATACAGTAAACTGGAAAAACTTATTAGAAGTTACTTCAGAAGTTAGAGCCACTTTCTCACATACCCATTAGGATGTTGGAGTTAATGGGTAAATTGCACGAAGTTAATCACAACAGCCAAAGGAATAGGAAGGCAAAAGAAGGAAGCTTATACCCTGATAGCATGCGCTACAGACTTCATGCAGAAAAACAGGTTGTAAACCTGCTGTGAGAACAGAGAGAAATTAAGGAAAAATGGAATATAAATCACTAGGCCTCTAATTGTTCCTGAAAAAAAAGAAATTACATGTATGCTTAAGTATTTGCAAGAATGTAGCTTTGCACAGTCATTAAACTTCTCTACAATCAAGAAGCCCCTAAACCCAAAGTAAGTGTTCAATTTCAGGATTTTTTTAGGTTAAATCATATCAAAAGTAAAAAAGTTCCAAAGTAATTCTAAATGACTTTTTAAAGCCAAGAATAGGGACATTTTCTTTGAACACACCTCATGAATTGCTTCCCTCTCTTACCCTTCCCTGCCATGTGACACCACCTCCACCCCAAAATAAAACTCCATTTGGGAAATGAGATGTCAGAGGCAATACTGTACTATCAGGATATTACTAAAAGTGCACTTTTCACTTTTTTTCCCAGATTATTTTGTATGTTTGCAAGCACTGCATGCATAGGTAGACTCAAATTCTGATTGTACTGTACTAGCACAGATCTAGGCCCACACAAATTCCCACCGAAATCACCAGGAGAAGCAACAGGCTCAGGACCCTGAACTCATGCTTCTTTTTGACAGGTCAGGGCCTTAAGCCATGCTCACATAACGGAGGCAAAGCCCTGCTGAAATCAGAGGAATTAAACTGCGTGCATCATACTCCACAACAGTAGATTCAGTCAGGCTGATCCAGGCCTATGCCATTTGCACAGAAGTTTTGTTTGCTAGCAGTAAACATAAAAATACTCTTTTTATACATATGCAAAATTAATGCAATGCAAAACGCAATGCAAGAGTCAGCATGCCAATTTACTTCAAACTTCAGGGGTCTGCCTATTAAATAGACTTGATTTTGGTGGTATTACTTTAAATTATACCGACCTGAAGTTGTTTTGAGTTTGGTTCCTTGTCCTACATGAAAACGTACCTGTAAACATCATGGCTCTCTTAAGGCGGACATAGTAGATCATAAGATTTTCTACTCGTGTGTTCTGAAAACCCTCCACCTGTTGAAGCTCATGGCCACGGTGCTATAATAGATTTTCCTCCCATTTTATAAATGACACCACGGCTCTCAAAACCCTTTCACTCGTGTTTCAAGTGAAGCAAGAAAACAAAGCGCATGCCAGAGGAGCGAACGCCCAGGGACAGACCCGTCACCCCCGCCGCTCCCGCTGCGCTGCGAGGCCCGAGGCCTCGGCCCCATCGCCGCGGGTGGGGGAATCCCTGGCGATTTCACGCCAACAGCAGGCTCGGCGCCTAAACTCCAGTTTCCTGGCGGCCCCACGGCAGTTCACGCACGCGAGAGACTGGCAGACGCTTGCCGCCGGTGTTTAGCTGCCGTGGACGGGTGCGTGAGGGCGGGTCGGGGAAGGGCTGTGCCCCACGGCAGACGCGGCCGTACGGCTCCGTGCCCCCCCCGCGCCGGCTCCACCCGCGGGGGCCGGGGCCCCTCTCGGCCGCGGGCTGGGTCGGGATCCCCTCCCGCCAGCCATGGCCCGCGGCCCGGCAGTTCCCCCAAGAGGCGTGGCCGGCCAGCCCGTCACTCTCCCCCTGCGGCCCCGGCCCCGGCCCCGGGGCTGCCCCCGCCCCGCCGCCTCACCTCGCTCACCAGGCCCTGCCAGTCGCTCTCGCTACGGTGGGAGCTCATGGCTCCGGCGGGCCGCGGCGGTGAGCGGCTCCGCCCGCCCCGGTCTTCCGCCGAGGAGCCTGCGGGGAGAGGCGGGGCCTGCGGCCGCCTCTTGCCAACCGGCCGGGGCCGCCCAGCCGCCTCCCGGGCACGGGCCTGCGGGAGCGGGGCCCGCGGCGCCTACTCGCCGCCCGCGGCCTAGAGCGGCCCTGCCCGCCGGGCTGTGCCGGGACCCTGCCCGCCGCCGCGCGGCGAAGCACCCGGCAGAGCCGGGCAGGAGGGGGAGAGGGGCACACCGCACGGCGGGACCCGCTCTGCTGAGGGCTGCGCGGGTGTCCGGGGTGCGTGGCCCAGGGAAGGGTCCTCCTCTTGATACAACCTCCGCCTAAATAACGGCAGGGCTCCGCTGCCAGCCCGGGTGCTGAACAGCCACACGTACCAGTAGAACTGTCGATGAAAGGGTGGGCTTCAGGGTACTGTATTGCAATAGAGATTTTAACATAGAATCACAGAATGGGTTGGAAGGGACCTTAAAGATCATCTAGTTCCATCCCCCCTGCCACGGGCAGGGACACCTGCCACCAGACCAGGTTGCTCAAAGCCCCGTCCAACCTGGCCTTGAATGTGTCCGATGATAGGGCATCCACAATTTTCTCTGGGCAACCCATTCCAGTGCCTCACCACCCTCATGGTAAAAAATTTCTTCCTTAAATTCAGTCTAAATTTATCCTCGTCCAGTTTAAAACTGCTGCCTCTTGTCCTGTCACTACAGGCTTTGGTAAAAAGGCCGCTCTCCCATCTTGTTTGTAAGTCCCCTTTCCATATTGAAGGGCTGCAATAAGGTCTCCCTAGCGCCTTGTCTTCTCTGCAACTGCAACTCTCTCAGCTTGTCCTCATAAGGGAGGTGCTCCAAGCACCTGATCAGCACCAGGATCCTCTGGACCCACTTGAGCAGGCCCACGTCCTTATATTGGGGGCCCCAGAGCAGGATGCAGTACCCTGTTGAGGTCTCACAAGAGCAGAGGAAAGGGGAGAAAATCACCTCCTTCAACCTGCTGGCCAGACTTCTTTTGATGCAGCCCAGGATACGGTTGTTTCTTGACTAAGAGCACAGATTGCTGGCTCATGTCCAATTTCTCATCCACCATAGATACTACTTGTATGTGACAAAACCCCAGTGAATTGGGTACACGTTCATATTGTATGTGTAAAGTAAGACACAGCAGGAGAGCAAAGAGGTAGAAAACCACCTACTCAAAACGTGGTGCTGTTACACTGCCCGCTTTGGGCAGAGATCTCTACTGTCACTCAGTTCACAAAAGTGTAAATAATATAACCCCCCAGGGCTTGGTCTGCCTTCTTTTTCTCCCTGCTCATGCAGACTCCTCCATCAGCACTGGAACCCAAGCACACTACCCACATGGCACTCCACACCCTGCCAGAATCCTCCATGGCTCAGCCACACCTGCTGCACAGTATGTCCCCACAGACCAGGTCTACCTTGAGGCACATCATGTGCAATCTTTGTTGTATTACTAACATGGCGAGTATTCCCAGGATTTACATTTTCCAGACAGAGTCCACGTGTAATTGCATGGAGTATTTGATCAGTTTAACCCACAATTACTCTTTGTTTTAAGTAACACAACAACAATAAGCAAGACAACACAGTAAAATATGCGTGCCTCATTCCTTACCACAGTTTCCCCACTGTTAAGATTTTTTTTAGTGGTTTGTCATCCAGGCACAGTGTCCTTCTGTTCTCTAAAATGGCAGGGAGATCTTCCTTTGACAACTTCACATCCCTTTGAGCAGGTGATGCCTCGACCTTGCCACTGACAACATTTCTGTTCCAGATGCTTAATTAACAGCTTATATGGGAGGAAACATAGGCAGAATATATATAGAAAGAAGCATCTAAACCCAGCAGGAACTCTCGTTAACTGTAAGATTATCAAATTCAATAAATGCCTGTGGTTACCTCCATATAAAAATAGTCCAGGAGAGCAGCTAGCTTAGTATGGAACTTTAGGTTAGTAAATACAAGTTCATACATTTTACCTGAAAATTATAAATCAAACTTGGACACTTTCTCCAAATTATAGCCTATTTTCTCCTAAGTTAGCTGTTCCTCATCTCTAGGAATTCTGTAACTTTAATGCTCTAGAGGGCACATTTGTCTTTCCTCTTTGTTCATATTTTCCTGTGGTTTATGTTGTCCTGTGTGTGATATATCACAATCCTGCATGTCCTTGCAGGCTTCTTGGCAAACTGTTGCTGAAAACAGCATCTTGTTTGCACAGGCAAATAGCAAACAATGAAAATTAAATGAGCGAGAACTGTAATTTAAACCCACTGATTAAAAGAATTGTTAATGACATTAGAAACTCCATAATTTTCAGAGTATTGTTAATAGTTAAAGCTATAAAATTGCTAGTGTAGATGAACCAAACAGAATCTTTTTCCCAGTTCTGCTTCTTATTTGCAGAATTTCTCTCCTCCGTTTTCTTGGTCTTGTAGTACTCCAGACTCAGAATGCTTTTGCAGAAAGAGCTCGACTTGTAAGAAAGATAACCATCTAATAGCCCTCATTTTTGAGAGATGTCACTCATCTTAATCCCAAAGCTTCTTGCACTCCCCACAAACATAAGGTTTTCATTTTTATTGATGATAATTATTCAAATGAGAAGTAAATATTCATGAAAGAGAGGTTATTGAAACAAAAGGAACTCTCAATGTTTCCAGCTCTTATGATTTTATCAAAAGTTTGATGAGAGCTGGTGTTTTCAGAAAGCCTAAGGTCTTGGATGAGAATAACTACTTCCTTTTGAAGTAAGAGAATGATTCAAGGAAATAAATAAAAAATAAGCTGAAATGTGCCTTGAGTACGCTTGATAAGATCAGAAAGGAAATAAAAGAACCCAAATATGTATTTTTAAGTAATCACTTTCAGTGCCTGATATCAAGCCTTTGGCACCTTCTTCAGCTTTCCTGATCCTCTCTGCCTTACTTACCAGTAGGTACTGTGATGCTGCTATGTAATGGTCCTAGCTGAGACCGGGTTACTCTGCTAGCCTCTAGGCAGACATGTATTGAGATATTGTTCCTGTCTAAACTCAGACAGACAAGTCAAGAAGATGACGATAGAAAAGAAATACTATCACCCTAGTTTATAAATAGGAAACTGAAGAGAGAAGTAATTGCCTTGCCAAGAAAAACAAAGTTTCAGACATAACCAGGAAGTGAAATTGCAGGTTTCAGGAGTACCAGTCTGCTGTTTTAGTTGCAAAACTAACAAGGTGTCTTGATTCTTCTCCAACCTGCTGCAGTAACTGCTTTTGTGCTGTCACCTTACCAACATCAGAAGAATACAGTATTGTCATTGAACGTCTGAGAAAAAAAAAAATCATCTCTCAGCCTTCCTCTTCAGCTACCATCCTGTTGTCTTTGTCTCTAGATCTGTTATCTTCTTTGCTTTCTTCCTCTATATGTTCACTAGATAAGTTTATCTTCTTCTAGTGTTTCATATCCCTTCTCTGCAGTTCTGCTTTGTGATCAGTCTTTCCCTCGGTATCTTGAGTTCATCTGTCTTTTCACCAGATTACCCTCTACTTCTCTAAGCATTTTCCACATTTCATTAAGAAGGCTCCAGTCTTTCAAAAAGCTTTTTCCTGCCTGGACAAATTACACATTCAGAATCATATCCAAGCTACTGTGGCTCTTTGATGCAACTACTCAGGTAAACATATGTAGGAGATTTAACCAACAGTTTTCACTTGTAGGAGATTTAATCAACAGTTTTAAAATACAGCTTTTAGAAATCAGTATCTTTTTCAGACATTAAGAAAGAAAAGAACCCAGTTTTTTATCCATAGGTAAGCCAATGAATGGATCGCTTCAAATTTTGCTGCTTATTTTTGTCAGCATTTGTCTACTGCACTAACATGATCGTTACATCCGTGTCCAACTCTAAAGAAATATATGATTAGAAAAACAGTGTAAATCCTTAAGATCTGGACAGGCTACATAATTGAAATGTAATGAAAATATGTAGTGCTTGTCCCCTGAAGGATCATTCAATTTGTCTCTCCACAGATGTTTCAGGTTCTCATTTAATCACAGTTTAAATACCTCTGAATGGAGATATAACCTATCATAGATAAAGCATCCATTTTAGTACCTTTGGTAATTTATATCAGCATTATTCTAGTTTGTGTTCTTGCTAATCTGATGATAGATAAATACATATTTAAACCCTCATGCACACATTTTGGAGGAAGCATCCTATGTTTGTGTGGGCTATTACTTTTAGCATTTAAATGTTCCCCTGTTTGTTTTCTTTCCTTTACTTTTGCCTTTCCTTGTCAGAGACTGCTTTTTGTCCATTTATATTCCAGCTGCGCCTTCTCAATTTTCTCAGGTTCATTGCTGGTTTCACTATCCTGTATCAGCTCTTCTGCTTCACATGCATGATCTGTCAGCAGGACAATATGATCTGCAGATCAGAAGCGGTTTAGCAGTTACTCATTTATGTTGAATCCTTTTGTGCCCAGTCAAGTCCGTGAAGGACACATCTTAAGCAAACAACAAAGATCTTTAAAGTGATGGTGTTTCTTTTTTCCTCTTCATCAGTTTTGGTCCTTCAATGTATTGTATTTCTTTGTGTATTAGGTGCTGCATGTAACATTGAAATTGCAGACGGCCTTACTTTTTTTTTTTTTTTTTTTTTTAAGCTATTGTATTACTGTTAGCTGGTGTGACTGTATACTGGAGTTCAGAATAGAGTAGCTCTCTCATCTAGAGAGAGTGGAAAAAAGAGAATTTGAGGGAA